CCAACAAAACATTGACATTGAAGACACCAGAGGAAATTGCTGTTGGGATAGATACAAGAAATTTCAAAACAATGAATGACTGGTGTGACCTGTTTATGTGTTGCGCGGTACTGTTAAAGCATTATATGATAATTTAATTGACAGTGTTTTTTTCTTTTTTAGAGGTTCATAAAATTATGGTGCTTCTTATAGTTTGATGGAAAGAATCATGGGTGGTAGTTGAAGCTGTGGAATTGGAGATATCTAAGGAGAACATAGAATGAGATGAAGAGGGCATAAGAGATCTCTGAGAATAGAGTCTGATGTGAATTCTCCAGCGACTGTGTCCTCTTTTCAGCAGTAGTGGCAGACAGCATATCTGTTGTCCGCTGAGTGCATGCACTCTTTGATCTCTGTCAGCTTTTGCTCCATAGCCTTTTACTTTCCCAAGACAAAGAAAAGTAGCAACACCATAGTGTTCTAATAAGGACTTTAATCCTGTGTGTGGAAGTGACGTGCACCTAAGCCAACGAAATACCCTACATAAAAATTGAAGAAGGCACACATACAAATAATTTTTAGAATATAATATGCTGATGAAGGACCTGGCCAAGAGAAAAGAAGCAGAAAAACATCAATTGTGAGCAAAATAGGAATAAGCTTTTCGTTTGGCTCTCTTCACAAAGATCTTTTTTTCCCTAACCTTGTTTTATTTTTTCTTTTATTAAATTCTCTTTCAAAAATTACAGAAGTATCATGTAGCAGTATAACGAAGGAAACAATCCAAACAAATACAAAGTTTATTCTTATAAACTCATTTCTCTTTCATTCATTCATTCAGTTTATTATTAAATGCCTACAAGGTGCCAGTCATTGTTTGAGGTGCTGGGGATACAGTGGCAAGCATGATAGACAATCTCTTTTTCTAATGTTTCTTACATTCTAAGAGGGGAGGCAGACAAAATGTTTTTAAATAAGAATTTCAGATAGTGGTAAGTTATAAGAAGAAAAAAAACATGGTTTTATATTTGGGAGAGTGGACAATGGTGCTTCAGTGGTACAATTCTTGCCTTCCATTTGCAAGACCCAGGTTTGATTCCTGGCCAGTACACCTGGATTGCAGCTACTACTCGTCGGTCAGTGGAGGCTTGCGTGTTACTGTGATGCTGAACAGATTTCAGTGGAGCTTCCAGATTAAGACAGACTAGGAAGAAAGGCCTGGTGATCTGCTTCAGAAAAATCAGCCAGTGGAAACCCTGTGGATCACAGCAGTCCAATCCCATTGTATATAGGGTCATCATGAGTTGGAGAGTCAACTCAATGGCAGCTAAGAACAACAACATGAATGGGAGGGGCAACTTTTGATAGGGCATTCACAGATGGAGTCTAAAGAGGTGATATTTAGGCTGAGCTCTGAAGGTTGATCAGGGTGCTGGCCATGCAGAGGGTCAGGGGAAAAAGAGTTCTAGGCTGACAAAACATGTGCAAAGGCCCTGAGGTGGAAATAAGTCTGATATTTTAGAGGAACAGGAGGAAGAACGGCTATAGAAGGAGACATAGCCAGGAACCAGGTTACGTAGGGCCCGTTAAGCTTTATCCCTCTTTATTCCAACCCCTTTACTCCAGTTAATCAGTGTTAATAATAATAGTTTAAAATATGGATTTCAAGCTATTATCAGGCTTTCCCCTACATTATATTTCTTTCAGGAGTCCTTACCTAACAGTTATATTGCAAATCCCAGCCACATTACCATAATCTGTTTACATTTAGCTTTTAAGATTCTTTGCTCACCAAGTTTATTTTCTCACCTTCTTTTGGCTTGATGTAATTGTCATTTGGTTAGAGGTCACCCTCCATTATTTTTGTCATACTTGGGTGATACACTTCTGAATCCTTGCAAGTCCAAAAATGTTTTCATTTTCCCCTTACACATATCTTGGCTGGGCATAGGTTTCTTAATTCACAATCATTTTCCCCTTAATAGTTTGTAGATTTTATTCTCTGTGTTCTAGTGTTACAGATAAGAAGTCTGATACTAGTCTTTACTTGTAAGGAACTTACTCTTTCTGCCTGTAAGTTTATAAAATATTTTCCTTGTCTTAGAATTTATGATTTGCATTGGGACATGGGGTCTTTATTTATTTATTACATCTCCATTTGTATCTTTTTCTCTGTCTATATCTCCTGCTTTTATATCAGGGTTTCTAAGTCTTTTATTTCCCTCATGATTGCCATTTCTTTGCTTTATTGCTCTTTTGTTATAAGCAATAGGACAGAGATTGACATATTTCAGTGACTTTCAGCTTTTTTGACCAATTCAGTGAGTACAGTAAAAAAAATACATTTCACATAACAACCCAGTTCACACAAACCGAATCAAAACAAAAAATACATGAAACAGTATATACCCTTACTCTGTGCATGCACTCTGGTATTCCCTGTTTTAGTTTATTCTAAACCAAAAAACCAAACCCATTGCTGTCGAGTTGATTCCGACTCATAGCCACCCTATAGGACAGAGTAGAACTGCTGCATAGAGTTTCTAAGAAGCGACTGGCTGGTGGGTTTGAACTGTCGACCTTTTGGTTAGCAGCCGAGCTGTTAACCACTACGCCACCAGGGCTCCAGTCTATTCTAGTCTTATTTTATTTAAAAAATAAAAAAAAAAAAAAAGCTAGTTGCTGGTTTTGATGCATTCTATCAATGGTTCTCAACCAGGGAAGATTTTACTCCCCAGGGACACCTGGCAACGTCTGGAGACATTTTTGATTGTCAGAACTGGGGAAGGTGCTACTGGCATCTAATGGGTCGGGGCCAGGGATGCTGCTATACATCCTGCAATACACAGGACAGCCCCCCACAACAAAGAATTATCTTTATCAAAATGTCAATAGGTCTAAGATTGAGAAACCCTTTTCTAAATTGATTTCATGATTCCTCAGTGCAGTGGTTCTCAACTCTGGCCATATGTTCATTAGAATCACATGGGGAGATTAATAAGTCTGGGATTAGCTAGTGACTGAAAGTATTAAAAGATCCTAGTGTTTAAAAAACACTGACCTGTGGTATACAGCCATGACAGAATATCCAGTCCTAATTTCATGTTAGAAGCCCTAGTGGCACAGTGAGGAGCCCTGGTGGCTCAGTGGTTAAAGCATTCGACTGCTAACTAAAAGGTCGGTGGCTCAAACTTTGCAGCCGCTCTCTGGGAGAAAGATGTGGCAGTCTGGAGCATATTATGCTGAGTGAAATAAGTCAATCACAAAAGGACAAATATTGTATGAGACCACTATTATAAGAACTCAAGAAAAGATTTACGTGCAGGAAAAAACATTCTTTGATGGTTACGTGGGTGGGGAGGGGTGGTGGGGAAATCACTAACTAGATAGTTAACGTGTCAACAGGCCTATAAAACAAACAGTAACACACTACAGGGGAAGTCAGTACAACTGGACTAAACGAAAGCTAACAAGTTTCCTGAATACAATCAAATACTTTGAGAGACAGAGTAGCAGGGGTAGGGGTCTGGGGACCATGCTTTCAGGGGACATCTAGGTCAATTGGCATAACAAAGTTTATTAAGAAAATGTCCTGCATTCTAC